CCACGACTGATAAACTCCTGCACAACCACCTTCTCACGAGGTATCCGCGCCTTGTTGATTGTATCATCGTCCGTGTAGAATTCTGTATAGGAACCCCCAGACGCCTCCCACTCCGGAGTGACGGTACTCTGGTCAACAAACGACACGTTTAGCCCCTCAACTGGTTTTTGAGAGCCGATTGATCCCTTCGGGTCATCGTCTGACCTCTTTGCATTAAAAGACTCGGTCGATGCTGTGTCTCGATGAAGCTCTTCACGAAGTGAATGAAACATCTTGGACACGCCAGCTTTCGACAGGATATGCGCTGTTTTCTCGGAGATGTTTCGTTCGTGGCTGCTGAGTCTATCTCTCAGTCGCCCGGATGTGTGGGCTAACTGCTCTCCGACAACAGAGAAACGGTTCGCTGGAGAGGCCTCGCCGTGTTCGACTCCATTGGGTGATTTCTTGTTGCTTCTCAGTTTGTCTTTGACTCGTGTTTGTGTCTTTGTCAAGTGCTCTTCCACGACCGCCTCGTACTCGTTAAACTTGTTGGAAATGTTGCGGACCATCGTGCCAACACGGTTATGGAATGGGTTCTCCATGGCAATGGCCACTTCGGAAATGACCCGTAAGCTTATCAAATGACGAGGCCATGGAGGATTTTCTGTCTGAGACAAACAAATCTTCATGTTTGCCAATTGCAAAAGGCTAGGCGCACCACCGTAAACCTAGATGAGAGACGACATTCTGACCGACCTCCATTAAATCAACTCACTTGTATGATTGCGGATTTTCCCCTCACTTCTATATTAATAATCCATTACTTAGTATAGTAACCGCCATTGCGATGGTACTTGAACTAGATTTGCTCATTTTAGAATTCACAGACATGCAAGCGATTATTGTGAGGTGGTCGGGGACATCCAGTACTCTGGTTTAACACTCGAGCGATGCTTGTTTGTAGATGTCCCGAAAGCACCAAGCAGCTACCTCCAGTTAAAGATATCGAGCTTAAGATCTCCCTGTTGTCATTCAATTTATTTGCGGTGCTGGAACGTGGTAACAACTCTATATCGCACTATTGGCCGCCGAACGATCATAGTTTTGTGCTACAGTACCCTTGAAACAAATTTAAGAGTTCAGCTTCGCGACAAAGTATGGAGCGTTAAGCACATCAAACAAGAATATACTGAATTTGTTTAGAAATTGTCCCCAAGCGTATTCTTTTAGTAAAATCAACCAAAAGTGAAAAAATACTAGAAACTTTTACTGCTAGTAATCAGTTACTATAATAACAATTGCGAGCTCTACAGAAGAGAGTTTCAATGGGTATTTTTTGACAAGAAGTCGTAGCTCTCAATATCTCGGCCCTTTGAGTTTTCAAAAAGTTGGTAGTCATCTAGTTTGATACTTCTTGCATCAAGACGGCGTGGAGTACTCGCATTGCTTCGGATGCGGTCGGTCTCTTCGTAGGATCCATGGACACACAAGCAAGGCCCAGCCTTACCATATTCTGTGGGCCAGTCTGTGAAAAATCGACGCTTAGCGTTCCCGTTACTACTCGATGGAGAATAACCAATGGCGACAATTGCTCTTTCGACCCGGGACGTTTTGCATGAGAATAAGGCATTGAATGGACCGACAGTTCCGACAGCACCACTCCAAAAGAAAACATGTCTGCCTTCTCATCGTACGCGTTTCCAATCATCACTTCCGGAGCCATCCAAAGCGACGT